CAGCCAACGTAACGGTTATTGACAGATTTTACCGCAGAAATGTCGTGTTACGAAAGAAAACCACGAAAGTTCGAAGAGAGTTGACACTTTTTAAACGATGGATTCGTCATCGAGACTCAAACTACAGACATTTCTAAGACTTTATCTTATCTACCTAATTTTTAAACGAGTATTCGCTAATAGGCGATATTCAACTTTTCAAATATTTCATTTTAAACTTCCTTCCTTCTATGTTTTAACGATAACAAATATTTAAACGTACAACAAATCTAATAATTCATGTTCACATTTACGAATAATACTTTTTCTATGTGCATAATTTTATTTCTATTTCGTTTGGTTATCTATAGGAATATCTATGAATAATTAAATAAATATATTGTATTCTTAAAAATCCAAACGAGATTATATAAAAAATACGAAGCCACGTGGTGTAACATAAAAATGATAAAATGAATATGATTTTAGTTCGAGTTGAGACAGAGAAATAAAAGAACATAAAAGAATTGTAATGTGCGATTAATAGTAAGCGTCATTGAACGATTGACAAAGACAACGAGAAGAGACGACTATATTTTTCTTCTTGATAATATAACTCTGACGTCTGTCACATTAGTCAAAATAAAAATTGCTCGATATAAAATACGATACGGATTTGTAGGGACGATGATCGTCGATTTCAAACACGACGAGGAGTAAACACTTCGTAATCATTGACGGTCATTGATTTTAATTGAACTTCTATTATACTAACTCTTTTCTATATGTTCTATGATTATCCCTAGAAAATATTAGATAAACTATGTCAATCGATATATATCGATATTTTATTATTATCTATCGATCGAATTTGCGATCGAATTTGAAATATTTTTCTTTTAAATTGATGATGCACGCGCATAAACAATATAAAATTCATGAAACAAAAGAAGCGTGATATTTGTACAAAAATAATATTGCGCACGATCGTCTTTGGTTCGAGCAAAAATGACAGAAAATATTCCATTGGAGATGATATAAAAAGGTTAGTGAAATTGTATGATGTAATGAGGCTCGCATAAAGGCAATCGAAGTAAATCATGTTAAATTGCTAGACGACACGATTTTAAGCAGCTTATTTTCTCTTATTCTTCTCCGTCTATTTTTGAGAATCTTTCGACGAGTCTCCTTGATTTGTTTACACAAATCGATCTGCATTATATAAAATACAAAATATATTAAATGAACTAAAAATATAAATTTGATTCTCGGGGGTTTATTTTGTTGATAAATCGATTGCCAGTTATAAATGACTGAAATTTTTAGTTCCCAACAATAATCGTACAACAGCTCTAAGCTTGATGGTATTAAATTCGAGAAACGATGGTGTGTGTGTGTGTGTGTGTCATAAGTCGACACGACAATCGATCGTAGGAAGAGGCAAAAGAGAGGACAAAAGGTCGAGAGTGAAATCGCCTTCATTCAGGATATCGTGCACGCGTGTGTTGTTGCATTATTGTACTTCGGATCACAGCTGTTCGAAAATCTTCCCATCTAATCTAAAAAAATCAAATCTAATCAATCTTTTCTAAATCCGATGAGTCATCCTAACTAAATATTATTATTTATCCATTGAGTCTTTTATATATCTACACATAATATTATACAAACAATGTAATATATATCGTTATATCAATTATTAATTATTATTTACAAAATATACGATAAAATCGAATAATCCAAAAGATGGTTTTTCAACAAAAATTCATTACTTCGTTCCAATCTATTTATAACTAGTTTCGTTTTAATAACGAAACAATAAAAAAACTTTGGCTTCTGAATATTAATTAAAAAGGATATCTAAATATCTTTATTCAATTATTATTTCAATTGAATTTTCACATCGAATGAAAAATCCGCGAGTATTTCACGGATAAAATAAAATCTACATCGGATTGAAGGAAAGTAATCATAAATTCGATATCGAAAACTAATTCGAAATATGGTCGATGCAGTAACTGGTAAAGGTAGCATTGTAGCCTATATCGTCAAGGTCACGACCTTCTGAAAGAATCGTGACCGGACTGCATGTTACTTTTCCCTGGCAGGTCGTTGCCTCTCTTTCTCTCGATGCAATATACAACCACCTTATTCTATCCTTTTCTTGTTGCTGTCGTTGCAGTTGCTGCTCCTCTTCTTCTTCTTCTTCATCTTCTTCTTCATCATCTTCTTCATCTTCTTCTTCTACCACTATTACTATTACTACATACTTCACTATGAATCTTCTTTAGACGATACGATTATCGTTTCCAACCCTCTCCCTGTTATACAAGAAGAACGAGTCACGAAGATACGAAATTGTTCTATCGTTTATTTTTGACCCTAAGTTAGATCGAACCGATCGTGATTATGATAAATACGAATTATTACCTCTACTGATCTCTCAAATACACATATCATGTATTCTATAAACTACAATTTTCATTATTATTATTCATTATCAACAAAATATACTTCAAATAAATATTTTATCGTACTTATTGTTTAATACATTACCTAACGCGTGTACTATAGAAAATCATTACTATGTCAAATGATGTTTTTCTCGTTAAGAGACAAAGAGGTAATACAATGATCATCATTTTTATATTACACTTTTTACACATTGGATATAAAATATATATTTATATATACGTTTGTATGGTTTGATTTTCCTAGATCGTAACATGTTCCGCAAGAGAGAACGCAATAGATTCGAGTATGGTATTGTATTCAAATCGGCGCCTAGTAAAACTCGACAAAAAGGAATCGTTTGATCTTGTGCATGGCGTTAGCACGCGGAACGAATCGCGCAAGGACGCATATAAGCGTATATATGTATATTCCTACGAAAAAAAAAAACATAACCGATAACTCGTTTCAAACCTAACGAAGATAGTTTTTTTCTTTTTTAAAAGGGGGGACAGAGATAGAAAGCAAAGCAATTTTCAATCAATATATTGATAACGTTTTATCGTTTGTTTCCTCAACGGTTTAGTCATTCTATCAAACGTCAAGACAAAATATTGAATATTTTTCCTATGATGTTTTAATACCAAATTCAAAATAATATAATACGGAAATATAATGAAAAAATAATTTACTGTTATAACTAATTAATTTATATATGATCAATAATAAACAAGTCAATTGATTTGCTTTGTTTAATTTGTTGTTCTTTGTAGGTGCAACTTTGTACCATCGCACAAGTTTTATGCACGCCCGTATAATAATACAGCCTTGAATAATATTTTTTATATTATTTACGGTATTAATCGTTTTGATTATTAATGAGATATTTATATTTGTATACACGCGTCTACTTTTTTATTTCTTTTTTTGTTTGGAACGTAACGATAAAATATATTCTGCGTTGAAATAATTTGCATAGAAAATAAAATTGCAAGATGAAGATTTTATCGATCGAGTTGTATGATAGAATTTATCATACAAATTTAGAATTATTTTCACGAATGTTACAAGATCGATGTTTAAGAAACGTGATTGTTTTTCATTAATATCATCTCGCAAAATGCATTTTTCTTACTTACTACTCCGCCATCTTGTATACCAACGATTAATGCGTCATAAAAGACGAACATACCGAATGATTTTCAATCTTAATTTTAATCTTAATCTCAATCTCAATCTCTCTTTCTTTTTCTTCTGTTTTTCTTGTATTATTGATACATTATATTTAAATTATGTAACGATTATTATCAAACAAAATGTTAATTAGATATCATGAGATTCTTTTTATTGTAACGTGGTACATGGCATATGTTTAACTAAACAATTTATAATAAACTTAAATGTTAATCAAATTCTATTAGATAATTGTAGGTAACAAAGCGTGATGTCATAAAAAACGTTGTTGTCGATTATGGCAGATAACGTTTTCCCTCCATTCTTTCGCGCAACGTGAACAAATTTAAAAACAAAATATAAACTAAAATGAAAACGTTTTTGTTAAGAAACAATTGAATGATCAAAATCTCACAAATAATCTAATGTAAGATTCGTTAAATATATTTTTCGATTGTTTGTTTACTAGTTTATTGTTTTGTTTTGTTCTGTAGAATCATTGTTTCATTATCTATGTCATAATCAAACAAATGATTTATTGGACAATAAAACAAAATACCCACGTTTGATTTAGATAGTATTTTTGAAATTCAAAAAAGAATATGAAAGAGAGAGAGAGAGAGAGAGAGAGAGAGAGAGAGAGAGAGAGAGAGAGAGGAAACTTACCGAGGATGACGAAAGAAGGGGGTTGTAGATTATCTGATTAATGGGGGGGACGCAGCAAAAGATACAGGAAAGAATTGATATAAAAAATCCAAACGCTTAGGAAATCGGCAAAATGCACCGGTAGCGTCAGGATGCACCGGAGCACCACCGCATGCGTTCTTCCTTCAAACACAGAAACGAAGGAGGACGATGGACGACGATCGGCGCTTCTTTGAATATATCGTCGAACTTTTCGACCACATAATATTTATTTTACGCGATGCCGGTTTACTTGAGAAAAATAATAGATAATGAAATAAAATGTTTTGAATGAAAGTGCAAGGATGCATCAACCGATAAACTAAATAATATTAACAAACCGCCAAATGCACCCGTGCCAACGGACACTTCGCAACTGTCCACGACGCTTAGTTCTTATGCGGCGGCCCGATCTCGCTCGGCTATTGGTGGAGGGGATGACGCTAAGCCACCAAACTTATCGACCAATCCTGATGTTCCTTTCGATCTTCTTTTACCCCTTAACGCAAGATGGCGCATCATTGCATTATTTTTTTTATTTTTTATATTTATATATATTTTCATAAAGTTATTATTTTTTCAATTCATTGTGCTTGCACACATAATATTCCTTTTCAAATTAGAAGACAAATATGCAGGTTATTTATAATTACTTCTATTTTGATTTTTTAATAATCATTTATGTAAAAGGATTATAATGGCAATGATTTTTATTCGCGAGTAATGAAGTTTTATTTTACCTTACTTGTTTTAATTTATCTTACTTAAAGCAATATCTTATTATTTATGTACAGCATATTTCAAGCAGAGTATGTCAACTATTTACACTTCTATAGCCACTGTCCAAAATTGGAATCAGTTATGCTTTCCGGTTTGAGAGGCCACAACGACGGTGGTAAGTTTGGATAATTATGTAATTCTGGTGGTACCTCCCAAATGGGATAAGTTATTTCTTTTGTAGTCTCCGGATTGGTGATATCTACAAAAAATTCTTTAACTATGTCATCTGGATCGGGCCATCCACCTTCAGGTATAAACTGACACGTTGCCATTTGTTTAGCTGCAACTTTACGTTATAAAATATATTGATATAATTTCTGCGTGTCTTAGAATATTACATAGTATTTATTATTATCATTACCAATACGCTGAAGTTCCCATATCAATGGTGGTGCATAATGAGAAAACTTGCAACTGCGTCCAAAAGCGCAGTCACCGCTGCTCATGTATCTTTTGCACGGTATTTTTCCTTGTTCTTCTTGCAATATTGTTTCAGGATCTATAAACAATCATTTTCATAGCGAACAAAGATTATACAGATCATGAGTAACGAAAGGAAAGTTGTATAGATTATTGTGATATTATTTTTCCTCGATACTACTATTAATTAAAAAGTTAAATGCGTCTACAATAATAATGTTTAAATACCTTTGTAAAAGCTATAATGATCAGCTCGATTTTTGGCATGCTGAAAACTAGATAGATGTTTTTTTCTAGATTCGGGATCATCCTTGAATGATCTCTCGCAATAATCACAATAATATCTTTTACCCATTTTATCCTACTTTGGTTTATAAAACATCAATTTATGTATATTATTAAATTCACATGCATCACATTTATATTACGTATGTAAACATCAACACGTTTCGATGAAAACTGCATTATCGATAGTTCACAAGTGTTCGAAGCGCCGTCTGTCTGTAGTTTTGTAAACTAACGTATATATATATATATGTATATTATTATATACTTTTATATAATAATTTATGCATTTTTTGGTAATATAAAAAGAGAAATATGTTTAAAAAAGAAAAAAAGAAGCAAAAACAAATGTTTCCGTATATAAGCAGTTCAATTTCGATACGTAAACACGATGATCAACGTGCCATTATTTTAATACATTTAATGTGGATATTTATTTTTTGGTTTTTTTTTTTATACACAAACAGATTACATACACGATACTGCTCGTTTAAACATTACAATTGTTTTTTCTTCTTACATCCTCGTAATATATTATGTATAATGCAGCGTTTGTTTTGTGCGTAGCTAATCTAGTTTTAATGTGATAATAATGTCGCGTCGCATCGGCGAAAATGTTTGTTCTTTTTTTTTTTTTTTCTCTTATCTAACAATAAGCTGTACATAATCGAACGATAGAAGAAAATACTCCTCTAATGTTATTTTTCAAATTGTCATTTTATGCGTCTAATTATTGGAAGCGTTTATTATTAGAGCGAAGTTATAATATAACGTTCTTTTGTTATTATTATTATAATATATGTGAGAAATATATCTTAATAATTTATGAAAATTTGTAAGTTAATCTTCTTACCGATCGCGTAGTTGAGAAGCACACAAAGTGTTTTTTTCACATCGATGAATTACATATTTTTCTCACCGATATTTAATTAGAATAATTAATTAACGTGACAAACATCTTCGACGATCGTCAAACATTGTTTTTTTTTAGCTTCTTACACAAGCAAATAGTTTTGTTAATAATTTATAAATAACGTGGAATGTGTGTAGAATGTATCTTTTTTTTTTTGGCCTTTCTTAATTTTCCTTTTTTTTCGTCTTCTTAAGAAAGCCGAAAATTTTGTATTTTAAAATTCGAGATATATCGTGTATCACACTCTACACACGAGGACGATTAAATTAGCCGAAAAATTACACTTAATCGTATTTTATATAATCGCAATGTTCCTCTTTATCTTTTTCTTTTTTTCCTTCATTTTTATTCGGACAAAATATTCGTTAGATCGTCGCATCGATCTCTCATATCGCAAATTTTCGAAATTCGATAAACGATCATTAAAGTTCTTCCCGTGAAAACATTTCAATTTTTATTATACTTTCGGTATGTAATTTTTTTTTTATCAAGCTTCACACAGACGAGTCGGATTTATTATATCATATTGAAAAGAATTTCACATATTATTCGCATGATCGCACTTTTGGGATTTCGTACATGTACAAGCTCATTAAAATACTGAAATATATTAAACCTATCGTTTGAACGATCATTTCGAAAAAAAAAGGTTGAGCTATCTTTACGCGCTTTAATTAATTAATTATTTATTAACGAAAAAAGGTCTAAGCTTAATAAAAGAAATAGAATAGAACGAGAAAGTTTATGCGTGTGTGTAAGTTCAATTCTAACTTTGAAACATTTCGAATTCAGCACGTTTCGTTCGTTTCCCGTTTCGTTAAAACATTTTCTCAAGATATCATAAGGATAGAAAAAGGAGAGAGAGAGAGAGAGAGAGAGAAAAATATGATAGATTTTGTTTTTACAATAAATTCTCCATACAGAGTTTCAATCCCAAAGAGAAATATACAATTCACGTGAATTATTCCATGAATTTTGATCCTTCTGAGAATTAGATATAGATTTTTTTTGTCGAGAAGAAATTCTCTGTACACTTAGAAGCACGGACACGCTATAATATGTCTTTATCGAATATGTATATATATATATATGTATATGTATTGTTAAATATACAATTGTTAAAAAATAATCGTGTCTTGGTGCATTTCGCAGTTTAATCTTCGATTTTGTTTTTAAAGATCGAGAATGATCTAACGTGCTGAATCGTTCCTCTAGTTTTTCCTTCGTCTTTTCTGGTTACGTGTGTGTGTGTATATATATGTGCGTGTTAATTATTATTAGTATTTAAAAAAAGAAAAGTAATTTCAACGCGCGGATAAACGAAGAAGCTTGCTTGCGTTCTTTTTTTTCGTTTCAATGAACGTTAAACGTTTTTAGGCCTGCTAAAAACATTGATTCATCATTTTTTCGATATCATTTACATGTTCTGTTATCTATAAGTAATAGGAATAAAAGATAGGACTAGAATGAAAATTACTTTTTATGATACTGACTGACTTTTGTCGTTTGCTTGGCAGTATCTGATCTGTGATCGTTCGTTCAACGTAAATATCTCGTGGTTGATTCCTTTTTTTTTTTTCTTTTTCTTTCTTTTCCTTAAGATATCATAATTTAAATATAATTCCGGCTAACTAAGATTTATAAGCGTTTACGTTTATATCCGTTATAACGTATAATATACGCAAAGTTTTTTATTATATGCAAATGCATGATTATGCATTCTCGTATTTGTTGCAACAAATTTTGCTTGATGAAAGCATAGAAATACATAAGAAAAATACATTGTTTGTTTTGTATCTTTGACACCAAAAAAATAATGGAATATCAATTTTGAAATGTGTCTCACACGTACGCATCCCATAGGTTACTATTATTATTATAATGATTTATATTTTATTCAATTCGGTAAAGTGTTTGATCGTTATTCTTAATAACTATTATTATTGTAATTGTGTTTTTATCTCTTTAATAATAATAATAATAATAATAATAATAATAATAATAATAATAATTTACGTATATAATATATACGATAAAGAGAGTATATAAGTTTATCGAAAAAAGGGGGAGGTGGTTTGGGTGGGCAGGTGGTCAGATGAGGGTGCTTGTTACGCGTTATATATATATTTATGTATATATTAATAACTTTCAAATGGATTATCAAACGTCTCTCTAATTCGCTATACACTGCTACTCGCTACTTTAGAGCAGCGAGCTTTACGTTTAATTAATTCGTATGCGGTGTGTGGACCGACCGACCGAAAACTTTTTTATTCTCGAAGGAGTTAAATATTTTGTTTTTTTTTATTTATTTATTTCCAATTTTTCGTTCAAGCTCGAGTTTTGCTCGGGGATAACGCGAGGACCGATTGTGTTGTGTGCTTTTTTTAATTATTATTATTATTAAAACTTTTTCGTCTTTTTTTTTTTTTAATATTATCATGTACACTTACATACTAACAATATTATTATTAATAATAATAGTAATAATAAAAATAATAATTATAATAATATATTATCGTGAGCTTCAAACATGTCGTTTCAATCATTTTTCTCTTTATCCTTCGTCCTGTTTTTGTTTTTCTTTTCCAAAAATTTGAATTATAATAATAATAATTTTGTGTGTGAAATATCTCTGTCTCTTTTTCCCTCGTATCTAGTTTCTCTATTAAAAAAAAATGAGGAATTTGGAATGGTGGAGAAGGGTAGAAGTTAATGAGCATTACGATTGCACACGTCAAAGCGTAAATCAATTACCGGGTTACAATCTCTCGTACACAGATCGCAGTGATAAATTTCTAAGTGCGCACGCACATATCCCTTTAGGCTTACTATATACATATGCATGTATGTACGTATATATATATATAAGCGTATATATGCAAACCTTGCTCGAAATAGAATCGTTACCAATAATTATACCGGTGCTTTGCTTTAAGCCCACTGAAGGGACTTTAGCGGTGGAGGGAAGGGGGATCATAAAAGGGAAAGAGACAGAAACATTTACGTTTATTTGAAACTATAAATATAGGTATATATAATAAAGAGAGAGAGAGAGAGAGTGATAGAGAAATCTCTTGTTCGAAACTTGAAAGAGATTTGATATTCGATCTTGTTGAAAATCACATTCGAAGTTTTAACGACCCTCTCGAATGATATATTTCATGCTTTTCATCCAGATATAATACATTAAATAATTAAAAGAGAGAGAGAGAGAGAGAGAGAGAGAGAGAAGGGAGAAGGAAAAAATGATGGACGTGTCTGAAGCTCGCACAAACTTTTTTGGTTACTTTTACTTTTCTCTCATTTTGCGTCATTTTTTATTTTTTTTTTTTCTCATTTCGGTAATAAATATGAAAAAGAGGAGCTTGAAATTTTGTCTGTTGTCATCGATTATTCCATTTCACTTATCTCGAATAAATTTCTCTTTCGATCGTTTGAGTAATCTCCCCGACGACGATGAGTAATCGAATTTTTCTTTTCTTCTCTTTTTTTTTTTTCTGGTAAAGTTAGAAAATTTGTTACGGAAAGAAATTGAATTTTTCGAACTTTTGCGATTTGAACCGAGCGAAGAATAACTAACAAAAGAAGAGAAAAGAAAAGAAAAGTAAAGAAAAGAAGGGGATGGAGGAAATAGAAGAAAGGAAATTAGGAAATGAAAACTAATTCGGCATTCGCGTAATGATCCGGTCATTTGTCGTCCTCGTTTCGTCCGAAGGAAGATATCTTGTAACTTGATATTTTTTGTCCCCCTTCTTCCTCCCCTTCTGTTTCTTTCTCCTCCTCCTCCTCCTCATCATCATCATCATTCTCTTCTTTATCTATTATTATTTCTCTCTCCTTTTTTCTTTTTTGTTTTCTTTTGTTTTTCTCGAGGAACTAGCAGCCTCCTCCTCCTCCCTCTTTGCTCTCTGGGAATATAATTTGAAAAAATCACTTTCGGTCCTCTTCCCAAGATGGACGACGCACCCGGCCGCCATCTTATTTCTTATCCTCGCCTTCGGTGTTAGGAGCCACTGACACCTCTTGGCGAACCTTGTGGCCTCGGAAGCTCGCTTGAATTTTTGTTGCTGCCTTGTGCAAATCCGGATCCGTTAGATCTATACCTTCTAATTCGTTAACAGCATCCTCCACCTAAAATCAAACAACAACAAAATGGTTACATTCAATCGAGTTCGTATAGCTTAGTAGGAACATTCCATTCTTTTTTTTTTCTTTTTTTATATCAAACAAATCCCTCGACGACAAATTTATAATTACAATAATTATTAATAAGAGTGTCACACACAGGAAAAGTTGGACAGGTAAAAACATTTTTTTTAACCAATTAATTTTGTTTTTTTTTTACCTCGCCAACTTTCCCCCTGCGACACTTGTATTAATAATTTTATTCGTCGACGCGGTAAACAATTAATTGACTTATAATTACAATAATTGCTTTCAATTTCAAATTCATTTTGTTATGTCAAACGAACTCTCCTTTTACTCGCTTTTAACTTTTTCCAAAATAATGAATCTTAAGTTACATTTACAAGAAAGAACTCCTATTATTTTGTGTAAAAATAAAAATGATAAGACAAAACGTTGGTAGTAGTAGTAGTAGTAGTAGTACGTGCCAATGAAAATCTCATCAAATTATTCTTTCGACCATCCAATTTATCGGCATTTTTCGTATTACTTTTACACATACTACCACTATTTTTAGATTTAATTATGACAAAGTATGGAGTCGACGTCATAGCGTGAGCTCGTGTTATGAACTTTCCTTGGGAAAGACGAAGAAGAAAAAAGAACGAAGATGGAGGAAGTAGAAGCGAACGAATAGAGAGAGAGAGAGGGTGTGGAGAGGGGGAGAGGTACGAGTCACATGCAAACGAGCTTTATAAACATGTAAATTGCAATTACGCTAACACATTTGCATAGGCACGACGTATACTATCCTACTCGTTTGCCTCTCGTTTTCCACCCCCTTTCCTCCCCCATCCCATCCCTCTAAGTTTTTCGACGAACTAGAAGGACATTAATCTTCCCTCTCGTTTCCTCGTAGTTAGAAGAACGTGATCGTCTTTCTTTCTCTTTCTTTTTAAAAGAAAAGACCACCAGAGTTCTCTTTTCGTGTCCTTTCAAAATATACATTTACCTATTATACACACACACACACACACACATACATACGTGTATAGCTTTTAACGAAAAAAAACAACTAGCTTATAGGAAAGGAGACTTTGTGTGTGTGTTCCTCTTCTATTATTCCTCGTTGCAGTGAAATGCAAACATTGAAGTTGATCGAAGTGAACCGTGCTCGTTTCACTTTAGTCTCGTTCACTCAGCTTATGGGTCATGTACATTCCAATTGTGCTAGATTTCTTCTCTTAGAAATGGAATTGTCTATTCATCTCTGGTTTTTCAATATATGAGCCGTTTATTTTAAAAGTGGCCTAACTCCATTCTTGGTAAGAAAACGCATATTATTCACTTAATAATTGCCATTGTTTTAATAGGAATTATAAATTTAACACCCTTAGATACACTTAAGCGGTATGACTCATTAGTATCTTGTACGTATATCTTTAATTGCATTGAAACACAAAACCTTAAATATCTCAATTTAAGTATAAATGGACTTGGGCCACTTTCAAAATAAACGGCTCATATATAGTTTTATTCTTTAGTATGTATTTATTGTCTATTGATGTATTTTTGCGATGTACGATATGATAATTAGTTTCAAATTGATGGATAATGATGGTAATAATCGTGTTGTTGATTCTGTTTAATATCGTTCACGTTGTTGTTAGTTTGTTCATTTTGTCGATAATGTTTACTATCATGATGTTATTTTATGAAATAATGTTCATACATTATCGTCCCGATAATATATTAATCCTTCTAATATTATTGTTCAAGTTAATGTGAAATTTTTTAAAAGTGCACGATTATTATTGCACAAAAAAAAGAAATTTATTTGACGAAAAATAATACATTTCGTTTAGCATTATTGTTAAAAGGGAGAAATAGATAGAAAGAATGTTAAAAGCTAGCCTGAAAATCCTTTTGAAAAGCTTTCGTGCTTTTGTACAAAGCACACAACGACTGACCTTTTTTTTTATTTTATTTTATTTTATTTTATTCTTTTCCCTCTAATTCCTTTTTTCTTCTTTTTTTTTCTTTTTTTCTTTTTTCTTTTATTTGATTTATTTTTCTTTCTTTTCATTTCGTTTGTTTTTTGAAGAACTACGCGTTCCACTCTTGAACGACGCTTTAAAACGCGAAGACTCAATTCGATGCTTGGTTTGTTAACGGATCGAATCGAATCTCTTAAGAGGAGGAAAACTTCTCGTTCAGGAAACTTTAAGAGGCTCCAATTAATTCTGTTTAATTAATTCGAGCAACTCATCTGGGAGTGGAATGGGTGGGGGAGTGGCAGGCAGATTGCACTTCTTGCTCTTTCTTTCATTTTTCGTTCCTTCTATTATTTTTCCTTTTCTTATTCTCACTTTATCGAGAATGGATGGAAAAGGAAAGAAAATTTTCGAACGAGTCATCAAGTCTGGGGGGTAGCAGTTAACGAGAATAAACGTGAACGTTGAGAATGTACATGCACATGCACATGCACATGTGCATAATACAGGCAATATATATATATATATATATACTAACTGGTAGATGAGTATAAGTATAGGTATTGGTATATATCCCGTGTCTCGCAAGAACAAAACCCAACAACTTTCTGACGAGCTCAAAGTTTCTATGTATTAAACTAACATAAAGTCGCGTGTGAAACTTAAGTTGGCTTCTAGGAGAATTTGAGAAGAAGATCCTGATGCATCTGAGTTCTCTAACTGGATTTACGAAGGAGAGAGTGAGAAAGAGGAAAGATAGTGTAGTAGTATAAGAATAAAACTTTATTCGAACACGTATTTTCAGTTAAATTGTGGCTTGTTAGCTTAAGGGATCGTGATAATTTAGGTTTGAGTAATAAATGTTTATTAATATAAAATATAATTCATTAGCGTTTAATAAAATTGAATAAAATTGTAATCGTAATACGCGTAATTTTGTTGATTTGTGCATTCAATATTGAATGCCATGAAAAAAAAGTATTTATTTGAAACGGTTCGTAAAAGGAAGGATCCTTTTTAGCGAAACGAAGTTTCGTTGAGGATTCATCGTTCTATCTTCTAGCCAAGGATTTCTAAATCTACGAGGGAAGAAGGAGTACTTAAACGAAAATCTCAGCTTAGCTCGGTTTTCGCGTGTTGAATCGTTTCGAGTCGACACATTACGAAATATCCGATCGATCGTTGGCAAAACATGCTGAAGAGGGTGGTTCAAGTTATGAGCTTCAAGAGAGATTCATGATAAGGCACGTTTCAAATCTAATATTATACGTTTTTACATTTATTATTAAAGTTTGGGGGACTAATTTTTCCTAGTCCTGATTATACACTGATACTTTTTATTACTTGAAGTTATCACTTGTACTATTTATTTACTTTAATATATGCAGGGTGTCCCATATAACTCTAGTTACAATTTTTCAAGTACTCGCGATAACCTGACAAAAAAAATACTTTTAAACAAAAGTTCATCTGTTTCTGATTGATTGAAGTTTTTTTCAAAGAGATTAATACAATTGAAGATCTGCCATAAGATTTTCTATCGTTAGTTTAATTTTTCTTCTTCAAGAAGACAGCTTTCTCGTGAACATTCAAAGAAATCTTTAGGATTCCTGCGAGGTAGTGCTAACGTTCTATTTCTTCTTCCTTACCGCAAAACCTTTTCATGTCTTTTCCATTCTAACTTTTCTTTAACTTTTCAACGTTCTCCCAAGTAAGCGAAATATATTTTTCGAATAGCGATTCGAAGTTTGAAGGACGAACAGGATAGGAGATACAAGTATTTTACGATGAGATAGAGAACTTAGACATTTTTGTCGTGTATACGATCAATCATTTTGATAGAAGATCGATCGATACCACGTTCATTTTATCAACGTATCTTACTACTCTAACATTTTTTCCTTTATTCCCTCCTTCACTCCATATTTTATTTTTATTTGTTTTTTCTTTTTCTAAACGAAGTGGCAATAAAATGAAAAATGTACATTCTCGAGTTTATATTAGAAAATATACTTTATAAAGGTGATGATCGTATCGAAGTTAAAGAAGAAGATTATACAAAAATATGAAAATAAAATTAGAAATACTTAATAAATGTGTCTTAGGATATTGAATAAATGTGCTGGACAGGGTTGCAAATTTAGAACGTTATTTAGAACATTATTGAACGTTTCGTCCCTTCATCGAGACTTCTTCAGCAACTCAAATTTTATTATGACTTTTTTTTTAAAATACGTATTATTAAACATTTAAAACATAGTTATTTAATATTACCTCATTCGTTAAAGTTCAGAGTCTCTTATATATTATATTTTGTTCAATAATAAAACTCTACTTAACATCTACAAAACTAATTGAATTAGGAATAATATTTTTGTTTAGCTTGAATAATTTCGTTAGAAATGGTATTAGAGTAATAATGACTTGATCAAAAGAACTAGATTGGACTTGCATTAGATAGGCATTAGATAGGCATTAGATAGGCATTAGATAGGCATTAGATTCACAGTCAAGCCACGTCTTACTCCTGGTTGGATCAACAGAGGATGTTAAAGGACATCACAATAGTCCTATCTATTCAACCTCTATCTCTGTCTCTCTCTCTCTCTCTCTCTCTCTCTCTCTCTCTCTCTCTCTTTCTTTCTCTCCCTGCATCTCTCCAACATGTCGGAATTGTTAGATATCAAAGTCTCTTCAGTTTCGTAGCTTGCTAGCCTAGCTTGTATTGTTATATTAATTAAAGTTGCATTTGCAGATGTATGCTTGTCTCTCAACGTGATTTCCAAAGCTTAGTAAAATATTATTTTCAATTGCTAATAGTTAATCAAATATTTTATTTCACTTGCAGTATTTGAACAATGTTGCCATGTGAAATATTTTATTAATTATAATAAATGTATTATATAGAACACTTATCTTACTTAGGTATTTTTATTTATATATTAATATATTATATATAAGTCTCATATTGGTATATATAATCTCATTGGTTGTTTTTGCCTTTTTATTTTC